ACCCGCCTGGCAAGCACAAGGTGCTGTACTCAATTCCTGGTACAAAAAAAAAGTCAGCCTGGGTAATATGGCAAGACCCTATCTAAAATGTAAAAAAATAAATAATCAAAGCATTCATAATAAGGAGCAGGCTTTAAATAATGATAAAAGTATACAGTTAAATAATGATAAATAATGATAAAGCTATATTCTAAGCCGGGTATGGTGACACACACCTGTAATCCCAGCACTAGGGAGGATGAGGCAGGAGGATCACTGTGAGTTTGAGGCCATCCTGGGCTACATAGTGAGACCCCCCCCATCTCAAAAAAAATTGTTTTTAATTTTAAAAGTTATATAGTTCTAAATAAAAGATCACATTTTCTCCATTCAACATTCAAATATATATTAATCTGTGTAAATCAGACAATTCTTTCATTGTCTTTATGGAATACAAGCCAGGCAAGGTGGCACATGCCTATACTCCCAGCACCAGGGAGGCTGAGGCAGGAAGAGGATCACCATGAGTTTGAGGCCAACTTGGGATACATAGTGAGTTCAAGGCCAGCCTGAACCATATAGTGAAACCCTGTCTCAAGACAAAACCAAACAAAAAATTACTATGGAATACAAGGAACACCCCAACAGAACATTGGAAAAGTTACTATTTTCTGGACAGAAAGAATGTTTATGGTATTTATCATCACAAGATATTTGTCTCAAAAATGACAGACTGCCGGGTGTGATGGCACACACCTGTAATCCTAGTACTCAAAGGTTGAAGCAGGAGGATCACTGCAAGTTCAAGGCCAGCCTCAGCTACAAAGTGAGTTGAAGGCCAGCGTGAACTGCATAGCGAGACCCTGTCTCAAAAAGACAAAAAAGAAAAGAAATGACAGACTAATATCCATGCATTACTAACCACCTACACAAAGCTCAACACCGGTAATACATGATAAAAACATAAAAACATGATAAAACCTCAGAGAAACCCCAAACTTTTACAATATTGAATTAATTAAAATGTTTCAGACTGAGAGCCAGGCATGGTGGGTCACTCATGCCTGTAATTCCAGCACTTGGGAGGCTGACACCGGAGGACTGTTGTGAGTCCAAGGCCAACCTAGGTAACATAGTGAGTTCAAGGCCAGTCTGAACTACACAGCTAGACCTTGTCTCAAAAACAAGAACAAAAAAGTTTCTGGTAGAAGTAAAATTGTATGAACATCTGTTGATCATATAACACTCAAAATTTAAATTCAATTGATAATATTCTGTAAGTGAACTATTCAAACTATTGCTATAGAATCGTATTTTATTTGTCTTCAGATTTCTATCACAATTCAGGATAATAAAGTTGGATGAGGGATGAGCCAATCAAATTTATCCATTCCCTGTACAGCTGCTGGAAAAAAATGGTCAACCATTTATGGGCTGCTCAAAGACTGGAAAATGCTTCTGTGTAAGATATATTACCTGCTCGCTCATCAACTTAGTTTCCTAAAACTCTTGAACTCTTTTTGGGTACAAAATGGCACCACTGGAAGGAAGGGAAAAGTGGAAGAAAAAAAAAAAAAGCTAGAAAAGTAGGAGAAAATGGAAACAAAGCTTTTATAAATGGGGAGGGGAGGAGGGGTTGAAAGGAGGGTAGGGGAATGGGAAAAAAAAGAACCAAGTTATATCACGGACAGATACAAATTCTCTATGATGAACATGATCATTATGTATATCTAAAATGTACCAATAAAATCTGATTAAAAAAAAACTCACCACAGATGCCAAACCAAAGCATGTTACTGATTTACGACTACACTGAGGCAACAGTAAATAAGCTCATTCAACTGAATTCTAGCTTTTAAAATATGTATTTGTAATCAATAAAACAACTTCAGGCTTAAGGCAAGGACAAGTCCACTAGAAATTCTTTCCTGAAAACGTTCAATCTAGTTATACCTATTTTTTAATTTTTTTTTTTTTTTTTTGTGTGTGTGTGTTGGTTTGATTTGGTTTGGTTTGGTTTTGAGACAGTCTCACTGTTACAGGCAGCTGAGTTAGATAGAAATATTATAGACAGTTAGATAGGGCAAGGCCCTCGAAGGAGCCAACATCAAAGACAAGATACCTGTGAGCCAGACCTCAAGACAAAGGACTAGACAAATACACCCTCTTACCCCCAAGGGATGGACATCAGGGATTGATAAGAGTCCCTGACCCAACCCCTTACAGGAAAAGCCCCTGCTCTGTATTCATGCCCACTTGCTACATTTGATCCCAATTTAATCAATTTTACCTGAACAATTCTTATTGGCTGACCATAGTTTTGTCCATTTTTCCCTTACTTTGGACCCGCCTCACCTCGTGGTTTTGCTCTATAAAAGTCCCCAGAAAAGAAAGAGTCGAGGGGGTAACCCACTCGGGCCCCCCACATGTCCCTCTCTTGGACAGAAGCTTTCTTTCCCTCAATAAATATATTCTGCTCTTAACCTCCGTTGTTCCTAAAATTCATTCTTCGATTTTAGAGAACACGAACTCGTCCAGATAGTCCCAGATATCATTCAGGTTGGGAGTTTTTATTTTCCTGTATCGTCACTACTAGTTAGTTGTACCTGTTTAGGAAAGAAAGTTCTGCAAAATAAAGTCATGACTTCCTCTTTTGTCGATTTGTTCTTTAGCGGTTCTACTTAGAAAAAAGAAAAATCTATCAAGCATGGATGGTTATTTGCTAGGCTAGTACTTGAAGCTTTAAGTGCATGGTCGCATTCGATCTTGACATTTTCTGAAACAGGCATTGTTATGTTCGTTGACAGATGAAAGTGAAGCAGAGAAGTTTAAAAGCTGCCCGAGGACGCAAACGCATCCCTAATTGACAAACACTTAAGCGCCTAAACTGCCTCCGAGCAGATTTTAACTGCTGTGTGACGTGAAGGATGCGCTAAACAGCTCTGGGCTAAACACCTCGGCACCAAAAGGTCTCAGCGCCCAGGAGGGCAGCCCGTTGGGAGCTGGCGACCGCGGGGCGACGTCCAGGGACGCGACAGGACCGGCGCGGACCAGCGGGGGCGCGGCGGAGCCGGGACAGCTCGCCTCACTTTGCCCGGGCCGGCGCGACGGCACACACGCCCTGCAAGGAAGAAACAAAGCCCGGCCCCGTGGGTCAACGAGGAGAGGGCGGCCGTGTGACCAGCCTGCGGCCTGGTTTCCTAGGCAGCTGGACCGAGAACTTGGCTCACCTCGGGCCGGAGTCTCGGGCAGGCACCTCCCCTTCGCTCTGCACCTCAGCAGCCATCTTCGTCAGCAACGCCTTACCCCGCCTCAGGCTCCGCCCACGCCTTGGATTGGTTAACGTATCCCCTGTCTCCCTTGAGATTGGATGACTCTCCCGCCCCTCCTCAACATGAACAGCTTCGTGATATTATTGGTTTATTCAAATACCCAACTGTCACTGGTGGCCCCTCCCCAGCCCCAGCATAGAAGAAAGAGTGGGTGAGTACCAGTCTCCACTCTTCGGCTTCCACCGACTTTTAGGGAAATACTCAGCCTGTGCTCATCTTTTTCCAGAAAAATATTCAGGAAAAATATTGTAACTGTACTGAACATGTGATTTTTTTATCTTGTAGTTATTCCCTAAAAAATATAACTACTACTTGCATAGCATTAAATATTATGAGTAATCCAAAGATGATTTAAAATATACAAGAGGAGGAAGTAACAACAAATACTAAGGCATTCTATATAAGGGCGTGGCGCACCTGGGGCTTTTGATAGATCCTGGAGCTACTCCCCATGGACAGGGAGGGACATCTGTACTTATATTCAACACAGTTCAAAGCCACCTTTCCTTAATGGCCAGGCAGCACCCCAGGCCACTTCTGCTTCCTTCCACCTATGCCCTTCCAGCTTCCCAGTGTCACAGAGTCAGCCTTACTGCGTGAATCATGGAACGAAAAGCCACATGATTCTGTTCCTAACTGAGCTTTAAACTTCATCGGTTAAAAATAATTATGCTTGACCTCCCACTCTCACGGGCTTCTGGTGAGAATTAACTGAGGCAATAGAAGTAAAACCATTGTAAATTTAAAGCATTAATTTTATTCTGTATTGGTTTCAGTTTTGCTTTGTTTTGTGACTGTTTGTCTGTTTGAAGCTTGGGGGTTGTTTTGTTTTTTGAGACACAGTCTCCCTCCCTAAGTAGTTCAGGCTGGTCTTGAACTCATTATGTAGCCTAGGCTACCCCTGAACTCACAGTGATTCTCCTGCCTCAGCCTCCCAAGTGTTGGGATTACAAGCATGTGCCACCACCCAGCCTATATTTTTTTTATGCCACATTTTTCTAGAGATACTTTTCCTGTTGTTCTTTCTTATATCCTTCTACCTGAAGGTGCTCACAGCACTCTCACTGCCTTTCACAAAGCTCAGCCCACATTTCCTATTTCTCAACAATTCTTCCCTGCCTCAGGGCTTTTGCACATGTTGCTGCTTCTGGCTGACATATTTACACTTTACCATCTTTCAGGCCTCTGCTTAAATATCACTGGTTCAGAGGGCTTCCATGGACTGACTACGTGAGTCAATTTCCATGCTAAATTTTCATAATTCTTCTTTCATAGCTTGTATATCTGTGTGACTATTTGTTTCAAGTAAGCATTCCTACCCAAGCTCCCTGCCACAAGTGGACAGAGACTATATCCAGTTGGTTCTCTGTGGTATCTGGATTACAGTGGTTGTTCACTAAATATTTTAAACAAATATAAACAAGACTGCATTATCTAGATAAAAATTAAATTGTGTTCTAATAGATATTTTTCAATTTATGAATTCATTAAGATTCCCCCCACCCCCCCGGGCCCTGGGGATGCTAGGCAAGCACAGCATTTCATCTCTTTTTTTTTAATTTTAAAGAGTAAAAGAAGGATAACATAGTAATAGGAGGGCTTACCAAATTACAGACAAAGTGGTAGGAAATTATCAATGGTTGTTGTTTTACATATTGTTATCTACAAGATAGTTTCTCAGGAAAACAAATAAACAAATAATAGTAAGTTACAGACAAAAGTGGTAGGTTATTATCAGTAGTTGTTGTACTATACTTTGGTATCTTCAAAGTGCTTTCTAAAGAAAATAAATAGAGCTATACATAAGTGACCAACTGAATATTCATTGACCATTCTCAATGGTTGTTGTAGGAAACACATAGTAACAAACATACACCCATTTACGAAATAGCATAGGAACAATACAAACATTACAGAGTTATGGACAGATTAGTAGGAAAATATCAATGGCTGCTGTAATGCATGGTGGTATCTTCAAAGTGGTTTCTCAGGAAGACAGAGATATGCAAGAAAGATCTAACAAGTAGTTACAGGGCTGGGGATTTAGCTCAGTGGCATGGCGCCTGCCTGGCAAGCGCGAGGTCGTAAGTTTGATTCCCAGTACCAAAAAAAAAAAAAAAACTAACAAGTAGTTACAGCCTAATGGTTGTGAAAAATAGCGCATTACCTCCTTACCAGTGACTCCTTTCACTGAGGTGTGATGGCTGGAAGAAAGGCCAGGATTGAAAAGAAGGCCCGAGACACTTGCACCTGTGTCTAGCAACAGACTGTTTTCTTTTTCCTCTATAGTCATGATTACCCGGGGCTCCTCCATGGATCATCTCTACCCAGTTTATGAATACATATTAAAAGTGTGATACATGTGACCCAATAAAATCACATTTAGCCAGGCATGGTGGCGCATGCCTGTAACCTCAGCACTTGGGAGGCTGAGGCAGGAGGATCACTGAGAGTTCGAGACCAACCTGGGCTACAAAGTGAGCTCATGGACATCCTGAACTGCACAGTGAGACCCTGTCTCAAAAAGGCAAAGAAAAAAAAATCACATTTAGTTTTAAGTTTAACAAATCATCTCTACTGAGCAAATATATGAAAAGAAACATAAAGTTGAACAGAACTTTTATCGGTGACTTTTTGAGCACCCCATGCTCACTCATGCTAGGCAGACACCACCCATGAGCTATCCCCAGTCCTTCAGTAAAATTTTCATTAAATCCCATATAGCATTGGAAAAATTCAGTTTAAATTAGTCATTCTATACACAAAGCAGGAAACCCAAAGCTCAAATTCTGCCCATCCTCAAAAGTATAAACAAATTTGAACAGACTCCATGACACCCAGCACACAACTGATTGAATTAAATTGATGTTTTCATGAAAGAGGAAATATCCACTGGCACAATGGAACATGCCTGTAATCACAGCTACTCCAGATGCTAAGGCAGAAGAAGCGTAAGTCCAAGGCCAGCCTGGGAAATTTAGCAGGGTCCTGTCTCAAACTTTTAAAAAGAAGGCTGAGACCTGGTGTGTTGGCAGAAGCCTGTAATACTAGCACCCAGGAGACTGAGGCAGAAGGATTGTCACAAGTTTAGGGCCAGTCTGGGCTATATAGTGAGTTCAAGGCCACCTGAATTACATGAGACACTGTCTCTAAAATAAAATAAAATGAAATGAAATAAAAAGAGTTGCTAGTAATGTAGCTCAGTGGTAGAGCACTTGCCCAGCATGTGAAAGCACCCAGGTACAATTGATGTACAGAGGAGAAGAGGAAAAGAAGGAATGAGAAGGTGGAGGAGGAGAAGAGGAAGAAGAAAAAAGAGAGGGAAGAGGAACAGGAGCTATTGTTACTGTTTAAAACTTTAAAATGTTGCCTCTGTAACTCCAAAGAACACCATGGAACTGTATTTCGGGTTTACATGCTTTATTGAAGAATCACATTTTTGTATAATGTTTGGAAAATGCAGCACAGTGAATAAAAGCACAGGCTGTGGGGTTAGCCCAAGTTCAAATCCCAATCCATCACTTCCAGCTGTGTGGCCCTGGACAAATTGCTTTCTGATCCCATTTCCCCTTCTGTAAAAAAAGAATAATAATAACTCTCCCAGGGATATGGTAACGATTAATGAGATAATCTGTGAAAAGCTGCTTAACAGCACAGGGCCTGGCACACACTGAAACTAGATAACATGAAGAATACTAAGAATGCCACACTGCCTCCTCAGACAGCACCTCTCTCTTCTTGTGCTCTGTGATAAGGACCAGACATGACACTGTGGTTTCAGTTTAATCAGTTACTCTGGAGAGGGCCATGTTTCTCCTCAAAACCAACTGTTCCACTGCTGTGACTTCTGATTAAAAGCAGTATCATTGCTGAGTGCTGTGAAAATATGCACTCAGCTGACATGTGTGCATACCTTGTTTCTGCAAGAGTGTCACGACTCACTTGAAGTTCTCCTTACTCTATGCAGGTACAGACTGTCAGCCTGTGATAAGCATGACTGTCCAGCAGGAGTTCAAGACAATTCATATAAACACCTTGTTTCCAACAACCACACTGAACAAAGGTCACAGAGAAGTGGCCCAGCTCTCCAGCAGTTACAATAGACTTGGGGAGAGAAAATGAATGCATAGTAAAGACACAAACAACAGACTACAATTTAGAATTATGAAGGACTAAATATCAAAGGAGAGAACAGACTCCCAGGCGGTCAGAACTGTGGAGTAGAACAGACAACCAAGACTGTCAGGCATGGTCAAGAGCAAGGGCAAGATCTTGAGTCTGCCATAGAGGTCAGTGCCAATCCATTCAACACCCCACCAAGCTGCAGCTCTGGGGCAGAAATGGCATTCTCATCATCCATGTTTCCAGGCCTTAGCCCTGATGGAGGAGAAGAAAAAGGAAAGTAGAAAAGAAGTAAAAGAATAAACAAGATGGAGAAAAGAAAAGATGGAGGGACTGCTGTGTTCCCTCATGCATGGTGAGCCACTCTCTGCTGTAGGGTATACTTCTTTTCTTACATGCACTTGGCCCAAACTCGCTCTGCAGAACCTGTTTCTTTTCCTACCTTTCATAAACTTTGCTACCCCCACCTCAAAAAAGATGGAGGATTAGCCCATGACTCTGCCTCTAACTTCACTCTCAATAAGGAGGATGACTTGCAGTTCCTAGAGGTATCTTTCTGTCTTCCATTGTTGTTGTTTTTCCCTCTTGAATTAAAGTATAAGATTTTCTGTGCCTGTTATGGATTGTACCTAGATGTTCCCCCAAAGCCTCATGTGTTCATATGTGAGATTTCAAAGGTGGCTGAATCTAGGGTGTGTGATACTGGAATGAAGGGTGTGCAGTATTAAATTAGTCCACTAATTAGAATTTGCATAGTTCTGGGTTTGGCTGGCACCGCCCAAAAGGCTTGAAACCCAGATGAGATAAAAGGGTAAGGCAAGCTGCTTGCTGCTTGTTGCCTTCTGCTTGCCACACCATGGAATGTTTCTCGTCTGTGATGTCCCTCTGCCATTCCTTGGAGCCAACCAACTATGGACTTAAAACCTCTGAAAACTGTGAGCTAAAATAAGCCTTTTCTCTCTCTTGTGATTATCGGGCATTTGGTCTCAGCAACAAGGAAAGTAACTAAGACAGAGTTTGGTACCCAAGAAGTGGGATCATTGCTGTGACTATACCTGACCATGTGGTTTAGGAGCAGGATGAGTTTTAAAAGGTTTGGAGATGTGGGCTGAAGAAACAGGCCTGGAATGGTGCAAGCTGAACTTGATAAGAGATTCTGGCCAGAGTTGCAAAGACCAGAATACTGATAGAAATGCAGCTGTTAAAGACTAGCCTAAGGAGGTTTCAGTTAGGAACAAGGACTATATTGGCTCTTGGACTCCAGACCATATGTGTTATACTTTGGCAGAAAATTTGCCTGCATTTTGCTCATGTCCAGACACTTTGTAGGAGACTGAGATTAAGGGCAGCAGCACAATTAATCTTGCAGAAGAAATTTCAGGACAGTCTATTGAGGGGGTCACATGGGTACTTTAGGGGCTTATAGCCAGGTCTATGTTGAGAATCAAAAGCAGTTGGCCCAGCAGAATGATTTTTTTTTTTTTCTTTTTCTTTTCTTGGTACCAGGAATTGAACTCAGGGCCTTGCACTTTCCAGGTAGGCACTGAACCACTGAGCTACATCCCCAGCACCAGCAAATGATTTAAAACATTTTGAGTTTGACCAGAAAGAAAGTTTCAGTAAAGTTATGGCCTTCACAGTTAGAGCAGAGGAGAACTTCGTTGTTGAAGAGAACAGGACAATAGAAAAGATGGTCTGAGGACATCACAGAAACCAGCAGGACTCCAGCCTTTGCAGCCTCAAGACTGCAAAGGTGACAGACTTTGTTTTGAGAAGCGACCCCCAAGGCACCATGTCCTGGAATGGTGGAAGCCTAGAGAATTTGTTCCTCAGGATTGGGTTCATAGTGCTCAGCAGTCCAAGCACTCCAACCCAATAGCCAAAAGAGGAAGAAGCCTGGCTACTGCTCCAGCTGGAGGTAGACCCTGATGTCATCCACACAGTGCTGGGTTTTAGGTGCATGGAGAATGCAAGAGTTGTGGGCACAGGAAGGCTACATTAGGAAAAATGAAAACTATCTAAGGGCTCAGCCTTTGTGTCCCAGGTTACCACATTACATTTGCTGCATTTCTAGATTGGTTCAGATGACTGTCTGATTAGTATTAGCTTCTCCAACTGGACGTAGACACCATGGGTTAAAGGCCCACATTTGGTTTGGGAATTGTGGTTACCCACAATTTTTGGAATGAATGAAAGAGCAAATGAATCAAATCAAAAAGTTAATAAATGAAATTATGACATTATTTTGGTCTTAGGGGAAAATCACATCCCAACTATACAAACATTTTTGTTTTGGTGTATCCAGCCTCTTGTTAAGGGTTCTCTGCTACAGTCTGAACCAACTTAAGTGACTAGCTGGCAGACCCCAGTTCCAGGAACTAATTGGAGTGGAAAGATGCTCTGTCTATCAGCAAGAGCACAGACAGCTTCATGGAGGTAGTGATTAGCTGGAATGGGTAGGCTTTAGATGGGCAGAGGTAGAGAAACTGTATTCTCTATATAAAAAACTGGACTAAACCAGGTGTGATAGGGCACACCTGTAATCCTAGCACTTTGGAGGCTGAGGCAGGAGGATCACTGCAAGTTCAAGGCCAGCCTGGGCTATATAGTGAGTTCAAAGGCAACCTCAATTACATAGCAAGACCCTGTCTAAAAAACAAAACAAAACAAAAACAGGTCAGCCAAGCACAGTGGCACATGCCTATAATCCCAGTTGGAAATGGAGCTGAGTGTGAAGGCCCTGGGTTTAATCCCCAGTACTGAACAAAACAGATGAATAAACCAGGCTTAGCATGGCACAGTGGCTCAGGCTTTTATAGTCCCTATGCTCAGGAGACCAAGGCAAGAGAATTGCTGAAGTCCAGGAGTTCGGGACCAGCTTGAGCACATACAAAACCCCATCTCAGAAAAGCAAAAAATAAAAACACAACACTAATTGTGAGTTTGGGCTCTGGCACTAGGAGTTTGTGTGATCTTGGGCAAATTTACTTATTGCTAGGCCGCAGTTTTCTTATTTATGAAGAAAGGATAATAATACCAAATTGGTGCTCACTTCAGTAGCACATATCATAATACCCAACCCAAAGGCTATTGGAAGATTAAAGGAAATTATCTCTGTAGAGCACTTTTCAAGCTTCCAAGAATAGAACAAATACCTAATATAGCTAATGAGTACAAAGTTTCCTTTGGGGGTGATGCAAATATTCTAAAATTAGATGATGGTAATGGTTGCATAACTCTGTAAATATCTAAAAGCCACTGAGCTGTACACTTGAAACAGGTGGATTTTATGGTATGTAAATTATATCTCAACAAAACTGTTAAAAAATAATCAGCATTTGTTAGTTACTCTTATCTGATTTCTTTCCTGCTCTAGCTTTTCTCGTAGGCCTGGTTGGCAGTACTCTCCAAATCAGCTTTGTGGTGGCCTCTCTGACTATATGAGCATTAGCTTTTAAAAGGTCCTGGCTGAGCTAAACAGATTTCTTTCTTTCTTCTTTCTTACATAAAGAGATCCAGATGGGACTGGGGATGCAGCTCAGTGGTAGAGTTTACATGGGAGCCAGACAGAGACAGACACAGACACAGAGGGGAGATTTACATTGTTTCCCCTTGTTAGATAAACAGCTACAGCAAGAACTCCTGTATCCTTCCCTATAACCATTCCTTTTTTGGTAGGTGAGAAAGGGTTCTGGGGATTGGGCCCAAGGCATCATGCATTCTAAGCAAGTACTGTACCACTGAGCTATCTCCCCAGTCACCCCCCCCCCCTTTTTGTTGTCTTTTTGAGACAGGGTCTTGCTTTGTAGTGCAAGCTAGCCTCGAACTCACACTGACCCTCCTGCCTCAGCCTCCAGACTGCTAGGGTTACAGGGGTAATCCAAGTAATCCAAATGGGTAATCCAATTCCCTGGAATTCCCTGGAATTAAACCTCTGCACATTGGAGAGGCTCCTTCTTAACACCTACAAACAGTGACACTACAACCAGTGTAAGCATGACATCTGCGGAACAAGACGGAGACAGAGACAGAGTTAGGCAGAGACAGAGAGACCCAGAGGTAGGCACTCTAGGGCTATATTTGTGCTCTGCCACTGAGCTATAACCCTAGCCCCTTTATTTTATTTTGAGACAGAGCCTCACCAACTTGCCCAGCCTGGCCTTGGACTTGCAGTCCTCCTGCCCCAGCCTATAGTATAGCGAAGATTACAGATATGCCCCACCATGCCCAGCTCCATTTCTTCATTCTTGATTCCTGTTCTAGGAGTAAACTGGCTATGCCTAGCACGACCCAGAATCTGTCACAGGGGCTCTTAATTCTGCCAGCCTACACTATAACCATAAATTAAAAAAAAAAAAAAACTTGCTTGTCTTCAGTGTTCTTGTTTTGCTGCAGCATAAATCCAGTCTCTGCCTCCATCACCACATGATGTCCTGTGCTCTTATGTGCCTGTGTCCAAACTGTCCTTGTTTTATCAGCATACCAGGCACTACACTAAAGCCCATCCTTATCAAGTATGACTTCAATTTTATCAGCCTGCAAAGATCCTGTTTCCTAACAGTGGTCACATTTACAGGGTGCTAGTTGACAGGAACTGGCGGGTGGGGGGATTGAACCGTATACAAAGTCTCCCAACTTGGGCTGCGTCCCCTGAACCTCATCCTCAATCTTGAGTCCTTTTTCCTTCTATAAAGAGCAAAGTACTGGGGCTGGGGATTTAGCTCAGCGGCAAAGCGCCTGCCTGGCAAGCGCAAGGTCGTGAGTTCGGTTCCCGGTACCGGAGAAAAACCAAAAAAAAAAAAAAAAAAAAAAGAGCAAAGTACTCCATACAGCTGTGTTGATGTCAGCCCCAAAGCTGTCTGGTCGTCTTAATTGCTAAGTTCTAGATCCTAATGCTCTGGCACCTCCTTTAGCCTCCTTTAGGCCAGTGAGTGTCTTCCAGACATTCCATCTTCTGCCTTCCACTCTTTCCTCAGCTGCTCTACTGAGAGGTGTTTAAAGCATCTCCGCTGGAACCACCTAATCTGTTAAATTCTCTCAGTACAAATCCCTGCTCCCCAAACAGCCTGGTTCCAGCACCTCCCTGTCTGGGAAACCGGCTGGCAGCAAAGGGACTGGCAAAGAAATGACCAAGTCTACCTTGCTGCTTCCCATTCGCCACACTCGGGGCTGCGGCTGGCTTCACAGAGTGCAGCAGAGGTCATACCACACAGTCTGAAATCCTGCATCATGAGAAAGAACGGTGTCAACCTGCAGCAAATACTAATGCACCCTTGCTAGAGTGTGAGGCCACACACGTCACCCACTGGGCTCCTGCCATCTTTGTATCAGGTGAGCACATCCCCCTCTTCCCATCCCTTCCTGCCCAATGGTCAGCCAGAGCCCTTCATGCCCTGGCCATCACTAAAGGATGTCACTAAATTAATACCCCCCTTTCTGAGGCTTAATGAGCCTAACATTTCAGTGCAAAAAATTCATTTTAAGCCAGGCATGGTGGCGCATGCTTGTAATCCCAGTACTCAGGAGGCTGAGGCAGGAGGATCTTTGTGAGTTTGAGACCAGCCTGGGCTACAAAGTGAGCTCAAAGCCAGCCTGAACTGCATAGCAAGACCCTGTCTTGAAAAGACAAAAAAAAAAAAAAAAAAAAAATTCATTTTATTTTCTGTGGTTCAGGCTGGCTTTGAACTCATTCTACAGCCCCAACTGGCTTTGAACTCACTGAGATCCTCCTGCCTCAGCCTCCCAAGTGCTGGGATTACAGGTGTGTACCATACACAATGCTCCCTTCATTGTGAAAATTTTAGCCATCAAGAAAATCAAGAAGCCAGGAATGGTAACACATGCCTACAACCCTAGCACTCGGAAGGCTGAAGCAGGAGGACTGCCCTGAGTTTGAGGCCAGCCTGGGCTACATAGTGAGTTCAAGGCCACCCTGGACTACATAGTAAGATCCTATCTCAAAAAAAATCAGCACTCAAGAGGCTGAAGCAAGATCAGCCTGGGCTACATAATGAGTTCAAGGGCAGCCTGAACTACATAGTGAGAAGAAAATTTTAAAAATGTAACAGGGAACAACCTATTACCAGCTAGATTTGACCATTAAGACTTTTTAGCATTTTAAAAATGGAGATATACTTCATATAACATAAAACTATTTTTTAAAACATAAAACTATTTTAAAATGTACACTTAAATGATTTTTAATATATTTAATATATTGTTCAAACATCATCACTAATTCCAGAACATTTTTATCACCCTAAAAAGAAAACCTAAACTCATTAAGAGTTACTAGAGTTACTCCTAATTTCCTTCTCCTCCCATCCTTTGGCAAGTACTAATCTACTTTTTTTTGGTGTGTGGGGGGGGGTAATTTAACTTTTGAGACAGGATCTTGCTAAATTACCCAGGTGGGGCTCAGACTTGCAGTTCTCCTGCCTCAGCCTCCCAAAGTGCTGGGATTACAGGCCTGCACCAACATATCCAACTTCATAGTTAATTGGGGGGATGGGTACCAGTAATCGAACTCAGGACCTTGCATTTCCCAGGCAGGCACTGTGCCGATGAGCTATATCTCCAGCCCCATAGTTAATTTTTAAAACAATTTTTATTATTGTTATTCTGGGGATGGAACCCAAGATCTCACTTTGTGGCTGACTAGCAATTTACCACTAAACTGCATCTCTAGCCCTAAAACAACTTTATCAATGTATACTTTGTGTATCATAAAATTCACTCACATATACATTCGATGATTTTTAGTAAATATGGTGTCTCCATCACTCTGGTAATATCTCTCCCCTATTTAGTTTTTATCTTTTTTTTGTTTGTTTGTTTGTTTTTCCCAGTACCGGGAATCAAACTCACGACCTTGCACTTGCCAGGCAGGCGCTGTGCCGCTGAGCTGAATCCCCAACCCCTATATTTTATTGTTTGAATTGACATTTCTGCTGCCCAGGCTGGCCATGAACATCTAGGCTTAAATGATCCTCTTGCCTCAGCCTCCAGAGTAGACTACAGTTGTTCAATGCCCTGTCAAATTCCTGGCGGGCTGAAACTGATCCACCAAAAGTCTATCCACAAGTATAGTGTTTGGAAACTATGGCTATGGGGCTTAGGATTTTGAATGAAGAAAGCTCCAATGTATCTGAACATTAAAGAATCATATTCTGCCCCTTTTCTTTTCAATCAGCATGCAGTTTTGGAAGCTCAGCCCAGTGGTACATCCTTGTAATCCCAGTTACTGTGGTGAAGGAAGGCATGAAGGAGATCACAAATCCAAAATCATCGTGGGCAATTTAGGGAGACCCTAAGTGGTAGAGTCCTTGCCCATCCACACACAAGGTCTTGGTTTGGTTTCTGGCGCCACAAAAAAATAAACAGGCTAAACATCAATAAATAGAGCATGGTGGCACATGCCTATAATCCCAGCATTCAGAAGGCCGAGGCAGGAGAATCTGAGTGAGTTCCAGGCCAGCCTGAACATGTAGCAACATCCTGTCTCAAAAAAAAAAAAAAATCCAAAAAATAAATAAGTCATAAAAGTGAATCTTGGTTAACCATTAAATCAATCATGGTACCTTGAAGGGTTAAGAGTGGTTTTCCTCTCCTACTAACCCCTCGGGAGGGGATTTTCCCCTATGGGCTGAAGCACTCTTTAAAACTTTCCAGATAACAGCCCAAGAACTGCAGCTACCTCCGGTGCAGTATTGCCAGCCCCAGTTCCGGCCGCCAGGCGCTTCGGCTTCCAGTCAAGAAACAGTCATCTGTGGCCTTTGGCATTTCCAACTCGGCCATCCTCACCGCAAGACACGGTCCTTTTCTCCCTTTCCTTCCTTGTCAGCCTCGTTTCCCTGATGGACTTACGGACACTTAGCCTGACTTCCCCTCCTTTCCACCCTCGCCTGAAGCTGGGACTCCGACCTCAAAAGCGTAAATGCTAAAACCAGACGAATTGACGTGCGGAGGGGAGGGGTGTGTGGGAGTGTGTGTAAGCGGCGGTACTCGTGTGTGGAATAAACCAACGCAGTCCGCCAGGGTATGCATCTTCCGGAACATCAATCCCGCGCTGCCGGGGGAGCCGGGATCCGCTTCTCCGTGCGTCCCCCGGTGCAGCAGGTCCCCTTACGCAGCTCAGAAACCGCCAGCTTCACTCCGGACCCTCACCTTGCAGGCGCCCCGGCCCTCAAGAGCACAGTACCCCCGGCCCGGCGCGGTGGAACGGCCCGCGCGACGTCACCCATTGTTTACAAATCAACCCGAGCCGGCAGGATTCCGGCTCCCCGGCTGCAGGCGGCGCGCACCGCGAGTACTCGCCACGCCGGCTCCCGCGTCCCTGGCGCCGGCCCCGGCCTCG